CTGCCTAATTCCAAAATGTTAATCTTCTACAGGATATTGTCTTAGCCCATCATTCTTTTATCTATAGTGTTCTTCTTGGGCAATCTTAGCCATATTCATCGTTCTACGCATCATCGAAACTTTAAGTCTCAGATTTATGTTCCTGATTCTCATACCAGCTTCAGAAATGTTTGTTTAAATATATTCTAGACTTATCTACTTGGATGCTGATAGATAGGCATCTCAGATTTAAAAAGTCCTAAACTGAAGGATTCATCCCTCTCCTTTTTTCCCTAATCCACTTCTTCCTTTATACTTCCAATACTTGTTAATAGAGCTGTGATCACCCACCTAGTGATGCAAGTCAGAAATATGAGACTCATCTTAGGATGTTCTTCTTCACCTCCGCATATCCAACCAGTCACTAAATTAGTGACTGACTACTATTTCTGCTGTCTAAAATTTCCTGAATCTATCACCGCCTCTCTATTTTTATTACAACAGACTTAGTTCAACATCTGATCTTGGCTGAATTATTGTACTGTACTGCATTTTCATCCTAAAGTTCTTTTTACCAGATGTTGACTTAGGATTACTTCTTATTGCAGCCCTATTAGAATATAAGCTCCAAAAGGACCCCTTGACATGGTCCTGTTTTCTTTAGCATAGCCCCTGACATATGGTAGATAGTAAAAAAAAGAAAAGTTAATAAATGTATGGTAGTCTAAATAACTTATACATTACTTATTAGGCAATAACATATCAAAATTTCTACTGAAAACCTTTCAAAGCTTCCTATCACCTATATTAATACAGGTGATATACGTACATACAGCTCACCTATATGATCTACATATTAATGTTATGGTTTCTACTTAGTATTACATCATCTCCCACCACATTCAGCTCAACATTTGATCTTAACATTATAGTTGGTCGCCTATCATTCCTATACATGACAACCCTCCATGCTTTTCCTCATTTTGGTTTTGATCTTAAGCACCTTTCTAAATGCCCTTTACCTGGTTAGCACTCACCCTTCCTTCAGATCTTATATTACTGGCTGGCCTAAGTGGACTTTCTCTGAACATCTGCTACACTTTCTATGTAATTCTAGTTTTACTATTGACATACCACCAGGAAGCAATCTGTCTAAATATTTGGTATCTATCTTTTCATAGATTATAAGCAACTCAGGTTATAAATGATTTCTTATTCATTTTTGTTTTCCATGTGCCTAGCACATACATACTTGATATTAATATAACCTGAAGAATGGAATTAATGATTTCTACTTTCACATGACATATTGCAATACTTGTAGTCTTGTTAATGTCCATTTCAGGTTCTTAAATTTTTGATTAACAGACTTTATTTTTCCCAGCAGTTCTAAGTTTATAGATATTCATAGGTTTTAAGAAAGAAAAAAGCAGTAAATTAAGTTCTAACTGCTAGAGAAATATACATTTAGGAAACCCCCCTGGATTTCAAAAGGTTGACATCTATCATATTAGCACAACACAACTAACTATGTATAAATATTAGCAATTAAAAATGATTTATATATAATCTCTATGGCCACAAATTAAATTTTGATTTCTGTATTGAAATGCAACATAACATTTTGAAACACCAAATGAGAAGTTCCTACATAATGATCACATTAAATGTAGTGACTTATAGCCAAAATATAAGTGATAACAAGAAGCAACTATTTCAGTATATATTATTATCATAGAAAGTTCAAATTTCAGAATCAGTTAAAATTTGCAAAATGATTTAGTCAGGTCTGGGATTGAACAGATCCTTAAATTCTTCTGTGATGTAGATTTATGTCCTGACTTCTGTGAACAAGAACCATAGTATTCAAACATAAATGAGACTTAATCCATTTGCCTGCAATTTATTTGCTGTAAAAGAAACACCATATTATATGTCTTTGTTTGTATAAGTAGAAGATATGCTATTACTTCCAAGATACCAGGGATTTAATGTTTAATTATCAACACCCATTTGAAAAAAAGACATTGCTTTGACTCACAAATTTCTTAATTGCTAACAGTGGCTTTTCTGAGTAGGAGTGTTGTATCTAATTTCTTTTTGCAGATGTGATTTAGAAACTGAATTTTAAAGTAGCAAAGCTTTGCATATCTTCACTGTCAGCAGAAAATTCCTCCATCCCTGCTGCTGGAGAACATTGCTGCTTGAAGTTTCAACAGGGAAATAAAAACTGCAGTGAGAAAATGGATACTACTGGGTAAGGCTGCTTACAAACTGAAAAAGAAGCAAGACTATCAGCAGTAAAAGAACTACATTATTCACATAAAATACA